CCTGATTTGGGCTCTGGAGCTGCCTTTGGGAAGCTCCCGAGATCCGGACGGGGCGAATGCTGCACGCTTTGTGCTTGAGAGCCTTTTTATGCAGAGAACCTGCTTTTCCCAGAGTAAAGCCAGGGCTGGTTTTAAGCCATTCTCTTTAAAGCCCTGGGACAGGCAAAGACCTCGGGGACATGGTGTGTGCGCTTCATCTTGCTGTAAATCGCAGCCTTGGCCTGAGCTCCCAGGGAGGTGAACTCCACCCTCGTGCTGGGCCGTTGATTTATCATCTGAAACAAAGCCTTGCTAATGGGAGTTTTGAACGGGGCTGTTACCGCAAGGCCGGGGGAGACTTGCTGGCTAATTAATGTCATACACAGGCACTTTGAAAAGACATTGCTCAGAAACTGGTCATGATGCTGCCTGGGTGATTTCTCTTCTCCGTTAAGCGTCTGCTGTGGCTCCAAGAACTCCTGTAGCCCAGCAGGACCGCCTGACTCCTCACAAATGTACGTTTTCCACGGAGACATTTAGGGGAGACATTTTTCAGCCCGTTGCAGAGGGATGTGGCCACATGACTCCCATTAGCACTAATAGGAAACGTGTGACCAGAGCCCTCCGCGTCTCGCAGAGCATTAACCTCATGCTGCTTAGCCTGGACCGGTGGCCTTGCTGGCGCAGCGGGCTCCTGGCCCCGGCACGGAGGAAGGCACGGAGATGAGGGGGGATCGTGGCAAACCTTGCTTTGTTTCTTCCCGCAGTGCTGTGAAGCCATTTACTCCAGCGTCTCGGGGCTGAAAGCTCACCTGGCCAACTGCAACAAGGTAGGTCCTTCCTTTTACAGCCTCCGCTCGGAGCTGGGGTTAGGTTTCGGTTTTCTCTCCTCCCTGAATTGTTGGGAAGCAACAGGCCGAGGGACAAGGGCACAGGTTTAAAGGATCATGACCACTGGGAGGGCTGGCAGAGCCATGCTGCTGCCCATCGAGTTGTCACTGCTCAGCCTGTTGTTGCACCATCCCCGTCTGGCCACTCGCTCTCAGCACTGTCCTCCTGGGCAGGATCAAATCCGCAGCCACAGGCAGCTGAAGGCAGAGGGGTCAAGCTGGGCAGATGAAACAGAGGGGGTTCAGCTACCGCCCCAGCCTTGGAGGAGAGGTCTTGCAACACAAATGTCTCACCTGAGAGCCCAGACCTCTGGCTCACCCAGTGCCTTGGAGACAGGACGGTGGGAGCAAGCCCGCCTGCCTCGCGTCCTCCGGGGGGCGCACCCCCGCCTGCCTCGCGTCCTCCCGCCTCGGCGTGCCCGTCCCACAGCAGCCCTTGCCCAGCATGACTTCTGCAACCCCCAAGTCGTTTGCCAGCCTTCGGCTACCCAGCGTGGCCAGCACCTTATGCGCAGCCACGCATCGACCACAGCAGCTCAGAGCCAGGGAACTGAGTGTTGGGAGCTGAACGTTTTCTAAGGCAGGTGGGAATCGGGTCTTTCTCCGCTGATTTGGGCAGCCCTGCAGCCCTGCTGGAAACCCACCAGTTTCCCCAGCTGGAGGGACACTGGTGTGATGCCTCCTGGGGATGGAGCTGGGGCTGGAAGAGGCGGCCGGTCTGTGCAGAGACCAGTGCCCTCTCGCTCGATAGAGCAGCAACGCTGCCGGCTGCCGTGAGCTCCGGTGGCCTGCAGCCGCCACGGGGGAGGGATTGGGAGCTCAGCGTAGGTCCCTCAAATTGGAACTAAGTAAGAGCTGGTAAAGCTTTATACCCTGAAACGTTTCCAGCTGCAGCTTCCATTGAATGGAGCTTCCAGGAGGCAGCTCCAATACATACCCCGTGGTTATTAAAAACACAAACTCCCGCACTCCTCCAGCACTAGCTGGAACATCAACCCCTAATGAGATCATTTAGAAAATGGGCTGCAGAGATCCGGCAGAAGAAGCTGTATTTACGCAGCATAAAAGTGCAAACGCAGGAGACGAGGGCAGTTCCTTTGCTAGCCCGCAGCACCAGGCAGCCCACCAGCAAACGGTCTCCGAGAGAAAATGGAGCCATTTTCTGGCTGGTTCTGTGCACAGAAAGCAGCCAGGCGTTTGCACGAGCATTTTCTTTAAGCACAGAGTCCGGTGTAGCTGGGGCTGAGTGTTCGGGGCCAGCCCCGGGGGGCTTTGCTGCTTCATGTCCCCCACGCGCTGCCGTCTTGCCCTTACGGAGGGTTTAGTTTTGCAGTGGATACACGCGCCACCAAATCTGGTGTAAATCACAGCCTCCCCTGAGCCGGCCTTTGATTTCTGCTGTAAGATCCTGCAGAATTGGTTGAAATAGATCCAGCCTTACTGAGAGCAGAGGGTGCTCCCGGGCAGCGCCCCGTCGGCAGCAGGGATTGATGCACCGAAGTGATTTTTGCGTGAGTCTTTCTGAAGCCAGTCTGCGGTGGGGCCAGGCCTGCCCACCTCCAGCCTGTCCCTGAAATGAAAGACCTGTCTAAGTCCAGATTTACAGCACGGAGCCAGCTACGGAGAAATTCCCAGGGAGCGTATATATCGCCTGGAGGGGCCCATCCATAAACCCCTCATCAATAGAGAGCACATTATCTCCCCTGTGCCGTGAACTGCGGCAGAGCCGGGAGATCAGTCATCCCCACAAGGGCTGTAATGACAGAAATCCAGCGCTCGCTGTGTCTCTCTGACAGTGTAAAAGGAAAATTAGGTGAGTCTGTTGGACGTAAATTAGATGGCGGTTTGGTCCCAGGAGATCACAACTCTGCTGATGGTGAGGAAATGGGGCGATCGGCCGCGTCAGCCGCCCGCGCGCCCGGGGACACAGACGGTGTCGGCCATAA